TTGTTTGAGGTTCAACTTAAATGGTGTTTTTAGTACTTTAAGTACCAAAATCATTTTATTTGCTTTCTCTCTCCCTCTTTTTATTTTTTATTTTTTTGCAGTATTGGGGATTGAACTCAGGCCCTTGCACTTGTCAGGCAACCACTTGTTCTACTGAGTTATCTCCCTGGCCCTGCTTTCTCATTATTAATGAATAATTAGATCTGACATTTTAACATGTCATAGAAGCTTGTCAGTCTTAAAATATTTATACTCTGAAAAATATTAAAGTGAAATGAACAACAACAAAAACTGCATGAGGCTTAAGGGGAAAAACTAGACACAAACCATAACACTTCTCATTCTTTTATGTTTCATTTCTCCACTCATGTGCTCCTGAAATAATATCTGGTTCTGCAGTTTTGCATGTCCCCCACTTTCCAGAACTATTTCTATAATGTTACTTCTGTAACACTTACTTTGTGGATAATAAAACTTTCAAGTTTAGTGTTAATTTCCTTTGATTTTTTTCCAGTGACAAAAGGGCAAAGGGAGGTGGGCACAGGACAGAAATAGCTGGCATGCCCTCATCATACTACGCCCCACAACAACTTTTCCAAGCATGTTTTAAATGTCTATTAATGATAGTTGCTCTTCATTCACATATGAACTCTGCAACTTAACTCTTTGGATATAGATCGTTTGTAAGCTTACAAATTAATATTTAATCAATGTTAAATCAATAAAGCTTAATTGTAATTATGTTTTTTTTCCCTTGCATTTAATCTTCTATACTAAACTGGCACTATGCACATTAACATTTCAAATAATTCAGTAAACATTTATTGTGGGCCTGTCATGTGTTGTAAAGAATCTGTTTTGCATCACAGGGCATATAGATAAAGACATAACATACCAGGATCTTGCTTTAAAGAATATGCAGACTTGCCAGTGAGAAAATATGGGTATTAATGAGTTATATTATAAATTCATTCTTATAATAAGATGACTATTCCAAGTGAGGGAAGCCAGGCAGCCAGGCAAGGGTTAGTGAGAATAATCATACTCAAGCTAAGCTTCACACTGTGCCAGATTTTGGTCTGGCCCTTAAGAGAACAGTAGCCTTCATATAAAGCTCTAGGAGGCTGTGTCACCAGGTAAGAAGACTGCATACCCTACTGCAGAGATCACATAAGATCTGAAACTACATGGACAGAAAACAGGGTTGCTGAGATCGTAACAAGGAACGCATAATACAGTAGACAAGAATGCATAATATAGATTCTTTGGTTCTGACTACCTCGCCTATAAGCAAAGGAACCAGAAAAAGACAGAGATTAGGTTAGGCCTTCCCAATAAAATTAAGGTACTAAGCCAACAAGTTTTGGGGTGGTTTATGAAAGATCAGTACACAAAATTGAGCTCAAATTTTTATTTCTAGTAAGTGGTAAACAATGTGATGAGAGCTGTGCACTCAGAAAATCAGCCCAGCTATGATGTGCAAGATAGCCCGTAGAAGACATTTGCTGCCAAGAAACCTGGAAACAAGAGCCTGTCAAGTCTGAACTCCAAATAACGGTATGCATGGGGAGGAAAAAAAAAAATACGGGCTGCAGAAGTTATTCAATGGAATTTTCTCTGTGTGTGCCTTTTTTTTTTTTTTTTTTTTTTCCTGAGACAAGGTCTCTCTATAGTTCAGGCTGGCCTAGAACTCACAGCAACCCTCCTGCTTTAGCCCAAGTGCTAGAATTTTGTGTATGGCCTACCACACCTGACTCAATGGGATTTTTTCATGTAATTGGCCATTAGGACAGGAGGAATTAAGGCGTCAAAGTTGAATGCTAAGATCAAATGACTATAGGATGGTAATTAAGTATGAAAAAGGCAAATAATGAGTTCAGAATAATGAAATATAATGTTTTGGGCTTTTGTTTTATTTGCACTACTGGAGATTAATCCAAGGAGTTTGTAACAAACTACATTATATGCCTAGCCTTTTCTACATTTTGAGATAGGGTCTTGCTAAGTTGCTTAGTTGCCCAAGCTGGGCTGGACCTATGATAGTCCTGCCTTAGTCTCCCACAGTGCTGGAATAACAGATGTGTGCACCATCATGCATGGTTAATGTGTTCTTCTTAACAGAAAAGCAAAATACTGAGGTAAAATAACATTCATAATTATAGATAAAACTGTAAACAACTAGTTTGGAGTTAAACAGAATCAAAAGAGCTCTAAAAATCAGTTGGTCTTTCTATAAGCAAGGATTTAAACCTTAAATTTAAATTTACAACTTTCAAGTGGGTAGGCTAAGCCTTTTAACATAAAACATAGCTTTCCTTACCTGTCAACTGATTTAAAAAAAGACAAGTAAGTAATATGCATGGTGGGGGAATGTTTTAAAACAATAGAATAATGTTATCTCTTAAGTTACTGCAGACTCAGGCCTGCAACCTCCCAAATGAATAGATGGCAAAGGCTAAAATACATGAGTCAAGCGATAGGATTTTAGTGCTCCATGGAAGATCAAAATCTTTTAACAGAATTTGAGATCCTCTGGGACTAAGACAAAGATATTTTCTGGGCGATCTACATTTATTTAGTTATCAAAACAAGGGAAGGGAATCCTGAAGAAAAGTGGGGAATCTGTAAAGGACCTCGGAAGTCTGCTCAAGGACTTCTCATGGTAAGCCATCATGTTAATTTAGGAGAATCATGTTAATTCAAAGAAGGTCTCCACAAAGGAGATGCCCGGGGCTACAGTCTTTATCTAGTTAAAAAGAGGTTGGAGTCAGGTATCCTTAAGCTGTGGCCTTAAGACAAGTCTCCTAGGCCTAGGACAGACTCACAAGTAAACATGAAAAGAAAATTGATTAATTTAAATCCTGCTCAGTGCCACTACCTAATAACTGCCACCACAATCTTTTATTTCTTTCCTCATTGTTATTTTCCAGTTAACAATGACCAGGCTCCTTGACCATAAGTTGCTCTTTCCCTCCATTTGAGGCTTTCTCTGGTAGTTTGTTTCTTTTTTTTTGGTGGGGATCAAACCCAGGGCCTCACAAATGCTGGATAAGTGCTCTATCACTGGGCATTTACTGTCTTTGACCGAATTACTTCTCTTCATTCTCCATTTCTTGCCTTCCTCAAGAGAATCTTTCTGACACATCCTAGATATCCTTCCTCACCACGTTCACTCACATCCTCACTTCTTCAAAACAGTTATCACAGGGCTGGGGATATAGCTAAGTGGCATAAGCAAAATATTTATCACACACTGATTTCATAACAGTTATTTAGAAACGCTTTAATACTGGTGTCTTCAGCCAGAACCTTAAATTCCATGGAGGCAAGTCCATATATTTTCTTCACTTCTGTGGCCTTACAACACAGCTCATTGCTAGACATGAAATACAGTGCAGATGCTACAAAAGCGCTTTTAGCACTTCAGTTTCTTCTCTTTTTAGATGAAAATTAACAAAAGAATCTGCATCACTGAGAGAATTAAGAACTAGTAAACTGGGAGTGGTGGTGCACACCTGTAATCCCAGCACTTCGGAGGCTGAGGCAGGACTGTTGCTACTTCCAGTCTTGGCTACAAAGTGAGCTCAAAGCCAGCTTGAGCTGCCTAGGAGACCCTGTCTGAAAGACTAAAATAAATAAATAAATTAAAAGAGCTAGTATGTGGAAAATGCTTATAGTATGTGTGGTACACAGCATTGTCTTATGCAAATAAAATGACATTACCAGATGTAAGAATTAGTTATGTTGGGAAAAATCCAGAATACAGTAAAGCCTCACACATGGTAAACACAGTAGTTCATACTACAGTTAGCACAGACCCCCTTACCTATCCTAATTTATACCACAACTTTTATTGAAGTTTTTCACGCATCCCACTCTTACTTATTTGTATCACTGGGGGCTAAACTGAGGGCCTTTGCCCTGAGCTACATTCCCAGCCTTTTTACAATTTTGAGATATGGTCTCATAAAGTTTCCTAGGCTTGATTGTGATGCTTCTTCAGCCTCCTATAGTGCTGGAGTCAGGGGCATGAGCTGTCATGCCAGCAGGGTTCTCTTCTGTTAGCTGCTGTTAGCCTTCAGGACAAAAACTTAAAGCTTCTAAAGACCTTTTCAGGGGACTAGGCCCAGGATCTTCAGCCATTTCCTCAAATTCACCATTGCTCACTACCTTGGTATGTTAAATTTGGGGTGCAAACTCTCCTTCAGACAAATTTATCCAACTGAGACATGTCGTAAAATTTTCAGCTTCAACTCTTCTTCCTTCCAGTAAAGTGACATGAAACGTTTTCTCTTTGTATGTAAACACCCAGGGAAACAGCCACCCAGGCACTGAGCACAATGGAGGAGTGGACCGCTGTGTTCTGGGACTGTAGGGGGCACACACAAAACAGGCAGGGTGGTTGGGCACAGGCCAAAGTTGCGCAAAGTTTGGAGCCACTGGTCGTTGTAGCTCTGGGGTCACCCGTGGCACGCACCAGCCGCCGCGGGTTCGTTGGTCGCACCAGTCACGCTCGGTGCCGCAAAGGGGCTCTGACACCCAGGCGGTGTCTTCTCGAGTGCTGGGTGACAGGCGCCCACTTGTGCTCAGACGCTGCGAGGGGCAGCCGCATCCCACGCTGCAGGTGAAGTTCAAAGTCACAGTCCTCACCTTCCGCTCCCCACGGTCAACGGTCGGAGCTCACACTCCGCCGCCGCCGCCGCGGTTTCGGCCTCCTGAGAGGGCAAGTGAGGGCCACCGGCGGAGGCCGGGATTCTCTGGAGTGTCGCTCCCTCACAGCACGCCCAGGGGCTGGCCCGCGAAACTTCCCCAAGTGGCGGGAGGGGACCCGGGCGCCCAACCCCCGACCCCGGGGCCGCCGCTGTCGCCAGCCCCCGTGCGCCCCCGGACCCAGCTGGCGCCCCTCAGCTCGGCGGCCCCCGCCCCCTACCCCCACCGGCTGCACGAGCGGGCACCACTCTTGCGCGGTCTACCAACCGTCTCCTACGCTGACCACTTACCCCGCAACTGACCGGCTCACAAGGAAGCTTCCGCGCTGAGCGTTCGGTTCCTTCCACCGACGCTCGCAGCTGCGCCGCTACCACTGAGGGCGCCGAAGCGCTCCTTCCGGCCCCGACGCGGCGTCACCTCGCGCCTGCGCACAGCGCCCCCTCCCGACTAAGGACAGGAAGAACCATAGAGGCAAGCCGGGTGCCAGGGAGAGGGACCCTGAAAACGAGACCATAGAGAGGGCCGCCTGGCCGCTCCTGCTGACTAATCAAAGTGCGGACCCTTGACTCCCCCAGTAGGTGGGAGGACCAAAGGGCCGGGGATGCTCGACCCCACAAGGTGTCACTGTCTCCTTAGAGTTGACAAGGGTGGGAAAGCACATAGCTAAGGAAATGGAGTGGGCAATCACTTCATCATTCCCTCGCCATGCTTGTGGTGTCTGACAAGTCATTCATTCATTCACTTAACACGTGTATTCGGAGGGCTTCCTGTATGCCAGGCACTGTTGTAGGAAGCAGGGGCATCATAGTAAATAGGGACGCTGCGCTCTGAAAACTTAAATTTTAGTTAGTCCATCCGGGAACTAAAATCCTGGCTTAGATAGGATGTGTTCAGAGAAAAATATAACTAGGACAAAATAAACTTGAGAAAAGGCCAGAGACTGGTCAGGGTACATGTTCTGTGGAGAAGATTTTGGTGAAGAAAATTGAACGAAGGGAGGGCGGAGCCACTTGGGCCGCTGGGAGCCGAGACACTTAAAGCAGGGAAGAGCAAGAGGGCAAATGCCTGGCATGTTGGAAAAGCAGCAAGAATTGCTAGCGTAGCTAGAGTGAGGGAGTGGGAGGCAGGAAGAGGGAATGGAGGTTGCCCAGGCAGCAGGGGGCCAAGTGATAAAAGGTCTTACTGAGCGATTTGGAATTCATTCTAAGTGTGGGGGAAACTACTGGAAGGTTGTGCACAGTGACATGAACCAATCTCCTTGTGTTTTCTGGAGATCATGTTGGTGGCTGTTTGGAGAGGTACATACAGTAGCAAAAGCTCTACAGAGAAGCAGGAAAGCCAGTTTAAAAAAATTTTTTTTTTTTTTTTAAAGGAAAGCCAGTTAGAAAATGTTAGTTGACTTTCCATTGTTGTAACGCAGCATCTGAGGATAATAGTTGGGAGGAAAACTACTCAGCTCATAGTTTTACAAGTTTCAGTCTATGGTCACAAGGCTCTGTTCCTTCTAGGCCTGTGGGGAGGCAGAAGCATTGTGGCTGAAGATACTATGGAGGGAAGATGCCTGCCTCATGGCAGCAGGGAAGGAGAGTGAGAAGGTGTGTGTGTGTGTGTGTGTGTGTGTGTGTGTTTGTGTAGTTTTGTGATAATAAATTTAGCCTGAGGTCAGGCAGGTGTGTGTGTGTGTGTGGGGGGTACTGAGCAAAAAGGTGAAACAGAATACATTGTTCCAAGCCATGCTTCATCCAAGTAGGCCTAATCTTCTGTTAAGATTCTGTTAAGAACACTGAGGGTATTTTTTTGTTTTGGTATTTTTTGTTTGATGGTACCAGGGATTGAACTCAGGACCTTACACTTGTCAGGCAAGCACTTATTCCACTGAGCTATCTTCCCATCCCCTCCTACTGAGCTTTGAACTTCTCAAATCACTGATTAAGTTAGAGCTCTTATTATCCAATCACTTTCTTTTTTTCAAATGTATTTAGTATAGGGTCTACAGGGTCTTACTACACGGATCGGACTTGTGGTGATCTTCCTGTTTTCAGTCTCCTAAGCACTGGGATTACAGGCATGCGCCACCACACCCAGTCTCATTCACTGATTCAGTGTGCCTTCGGGGCGGGGGCGGGGGCAGGACCAGCACGGCATGCCCAGGATCCAACCCTGGTCCCTCTTTATAATATCAACAGGCACTTTAATCTGCTGAGCTATCAGGCTGGCCCTTCCAATCATTTTCTAAAGCCCATTAGAGGTTGTTCAAGCCTTTAACACAATGACAGTCTTGCCTAAGCAGGCGCTTTAGACCACTGAGCTATCTCATCAGCCTTAATAATGATAGTCTGTGTGAGAAGAGATGGTAATTTAGACCATTATGGTCTGGGAAGGGGATCATATTAGGAATTTTTTTAAAAGGCAAAACAGAAAGGATTTCCAGATGGGGAGGCAGTGGGAAGAAGGAGGGAGGAGTGGAGAAGTTAACTGTATGGTATTTGTCTTATGCAACAGGGTGTACTAGAGGAATAGTGGCTCCATTCACAGTAATAGGGAAATATAGGGAAGAAAGTGATTTTTGTACAGTGCAGCATGATTTTGACATGTTAAATTGCCAAGTAGACCTTCAAGTAGGCAATTATATATGAGCTTCTTGTATATTAAGGTACAAGTAAAAGGGCATAAGAGGATTCAGAGGCCAGAGATTTCAATTGGCAGTCAAAATACTGTCTGCTTGCCCACATGTGTAGTAGCTTAAAATGTTGATATTATAAATCAACTATTCTACACCCTTTATAATAGGTTGGGAAGGAGGGCAGGAATATGGAGAAAGGATGGCTACCAAGTACAGTGGTGCAGTTGGATAGGAAGAATAATTTCTAATGTCCTATAGCACAGTAGTTAAGTGTGGTTTACACCAATTAGTTGTGTATTTCAAAATAGATAGTAGAGAGGATTTTCCATGTTTCCAACACAAAGAAATGACAAATGCTTAGCCAGGATCATGGCACATGCCTATAATCCCAGTAGTTTGGGAGGCTGAGGTAGAAGGATCCAAAGATCCAAAGTTTGAGTTCTACCTGGACAATTGAGTAAGGCTCTGTTTCAAATAAAAAAAAAATAGAGTTGGGAATATAGCTCAGTTAGGAAGCCTTGGGATCAGTTCTTAGTAACACACACACACACACACACACACACACACACACACACACGATAGATGTTTGCAGGTCTGGGGATGTAGCTCAGTGGCACAATGCCTGCCTAGCAAGTGTGAGGCCCAAAGTTTGATTCCTGGTACAATAAATGTTTGCAGTGAGGAATACGCCATTCTTACCCTGATATCTGATTCCACAGTATGCTCACTTTGGCAGCAATGTACTGATCATTATACAATGTGTGTGTGTGTGTGTGTGTGTGTGTGTGTGTAAATGTCATAGGGTACCCTATAAGCATATGGCATTACTATATGTCAATTAAAGCACATATTTCAAATTGGTGTCACTGTCATAGAGAGTATGTGCAGCCATGAAACTGGCTATATGTACACCTTGGGAATGAGCACTAGAGGGCTGGCTGTCCATCTAGAAGAGGGGTGCAGAGGCAGAGCAGAGCCAGAGCAGGGTGGTGTCCCAGGGAGCCTTAGACCGTGTTCCAAACAGAAGGGAGCAAGTGGTAGTACCAGGTGCTGCTCAGAGACAATGCTGATGTTGGGGCTCAGACAAAGAAGGGGCAGCACTAACAGAGAGCAAAGGCAGGGGGAGGATCTTGGAGTTTGTGGAAGAAGCAATGGAGCACAGAAGATTAGAAGAGTATCATTGCCTTGCTGGGCCTGGAGATTTGTGGTCATAAATTTAACCTGAGGTCAGGCAGCAAGGACATGGGGTCTTTGCCCTGCCACCTGCTCAGATGCAGAAGAAGGAAGCTGGAGTGATAGGAGGTGGTCAGAAGGAGGGTGCTTAAGAGCACTGACAGGGAGACACCAAGAAAGTAAGTGGCCCATGTGTGGAGGGATCATTTAGGATGTTAACTTGTGCCAGGTGCAGTGATGCATGCCTATAATTCTACCTCCTCAGGAGGCTAAGGCAAGTTCAAGCCCAGGCTGAGCAACCTAGTAAAACCTAGATAAAAGGCACTTGGTAGAGCTCTTGGTTTGCATATGAGTCTCTGAGTTCAATCCCTAGTACTGTTAAAAAAAAAAAAGATGTTAACTCATCAAGAAAGAGGTCAGAAGCACTGGGGAGGCTGAGGCGGAGAATTGTTGTGAGTTCAAGACCAGTGTGGGCTACAAAGTGAGCTGAGGGCCAGCCTGAACTGCATAGTGAGACCCTGTCTCAAAAACAGACACACACAATAAAAGAAAGAAAGATATCAAAAATGTGGGCAGTGTGAGCAATAAGACACATTACTAAAATCTCTGATGAGTGGTGCACAGTGGTGCATACCTGTAATCCCAACTGCTCAGGATGCTAAGGCAGGAGGATCACAAGTCTGAGACCAACTTTGGCAACTTAGAGAGACCCCATCTCAAAAGTGAGGGGAGGGGCTAGAGGATGTAGCTCAGCAATAGAGCACTTGCCTAATTTATGTGGGGCCCTGAGTTCAAGACCCAGTGCCACAAAAAAGAACCTTCAGTGAATGGGACACAGTGGCCGTGTCCTAGACTACTTCTCAAGGCCACAGTTGAATAACATAGGCTGGGTAATCTGTAGCATAGAGGTTCGTTTGGCTTGGTTCTGGGGGTTGCCATGTACTTGGCATCTGCCAAGGGCCTTCTTGCTGTGCTGTGCTGGACAGCACTCCATGGTGAGCCAGAGCAAGCATGCTGACTGGCTCTCTTTTCTTCTTATAAAGCCACTGATGCTGTGATGGTGGCCCCACCCACATGATTTCATCTAAATCTAATCACCTCCCAGAGGCCCCACCTCCAAACACCAGTCACATGGATCTGAGAGTTATATTTCCAACGTGTGAACTTTGGGATGTCACATTCAAACCATCGCCTGCAGGTCAGCAGATAGACATATGAGAAGGAGGAGGGTAGGGAAGGGTCTGATGGCACACGTTTCCCAGGGTTCAGCAGGGACTTGTTTAGTTTTGCACTGTGTTGAAGAAAGTGGGAGAAATAGTAGTCCAGATGCAGTAATTAATGTCCCACTCCAGGGCAGTGGGACATGGCCTGGCTTACATAGGCAAGAAAAGGGCCACACTGAGAGGTACGGATGGGCGTGATGGCCCACACCTATGATCCAGGTACTCTGGGAGACTGAGACAGGAAGGTGGCAAGTTTAAATCCAGCCTGGAAACTTAGCAAGAGTCTATCTCAAAAGCTTAAAATGGTGAATAAGTAGCCCTGCATTCAATCCATAGTACTTAGAAAGAAAGAGAGAGAGAGAGAAAGCAAGCAAGCAAGCAAGCT